TTTCAACTTAGATGTCATGACACACTTGTTGAATGTCAAAATATAAATAACAATGTTAACTCTACCACCAGTTCCAAAAAAAGCCACAGTCCTGAGAAGAACCGGCGAAACAAACTCAGCGGGCTTTTTTTTTGTTTTTTCTCAAATATTTCCCTTTTTTTTTTAAATAAATAAAAAGATTTACAGTAAAGGAAAAAAACAAGTCAAAAAATCAATTTAATTTAAAGGACTCCAGAGTTCCATAACAATACTTTCAAGGTACTAAGTCAGTAATCTTTCTTGAAGTACCCACAGTAAATGTTCAAATTTCAACACAAACGAGACAGTCACGCGCAATACTAGAAAAAACGATCTCGACGTTCCATTTCAGAATATATAAATATTTTACGTCCATGGCACATATAACTGACGCACAGAGAATATGCATATTGAATAACCCTTTGCCTCTCACGGGCCTGTGAGTGACATAATGACAGCTTCAACAGACGCTGTTTTGTTCTCGAAATAAACTCATCCCATTTTTGAACCTTTCGCCTAACGTCAGTCAAATTACAAATTAAATTAAAAACTTTTGCTAGCGGCCTCATTTGTTTTCATTGTAGCGCGTTTTGTTTTGTTTTCGTTTTTTTTTTTCAGAATTAAGATTCTTAATTTGACAATGACATACTGCTGTTCACGAATTTAATGAAATTAGTAGCTACGTTAGCTAAAATTCAACTATTATAGGCCGCTGGAGCACAGACACTAAAGTTTCTATCGACATCGAAATCACCCCATCCATAATCGCACTTTGCCAATCCCTACGCTTCGAAGACGAATGGAAAGCGCCTGATCGAACGGCCGATTAGCAGCCACTCACAAACAACTAAACAACGACCAACGCTCTTACGGACTTAGAAACAAGAACTGTTTTTCTTTATCTAAACCATAAGAGGATTAGACAACTAAATAAGTATATACGAAATTATGTTGAACTCTATTTAGGTTAATCTAAGGTCGAGTATTTCCGGGAAACTTTAAATCTTCATTATTTACTAGCTGACCCGGCAGACTTCGTAGTGTAGAGTTCTCAGTCGATAAATAAAAGACCTAAGCTTTTGTATAAAATAAACTTAAAACAAACAAAAGGAATCTGTCCGACGGGGGACACATGAAAGGAAAAGCAAAATTGTTCCATGCATCTACCTTTTAAACCTTCTCTGAACTTTCACAAATAATTTAAGACCAAAATTAGCCAAATCGGTCCAGCCGTTCTCGAGTTTTAGCGAGACTAACGAACAGCAATGCATTTTGTAAATATAGATATAGATGTAACGGTCGTCTTTTATATTTATTTATTTATTTATTTATTTATTTAATAAGTTGCACCAACAAAGTGATCATCAATACAAAACATTGACGAATTGACAAAAGTTCATGGCAGATGTCACCTCAATTATAGGTGCAATCGACATTGCATTAACATCAAAAATAAAAATAAAATATACAGCTAAGAATTGGATACATGTCATTCATTGCTTAAGATCAATTTAAAAAAAAAAAAAAAATATATAAATTAGAATTATATAAAACATTTACAATTTGATCCATTCCAGACAGAATTTAAACTTTGAACAAGTTCAGACCCGATTTTGAAATAATTTCACTGTAGATCGATCAACTTCTACAACATTTGCTCAACTCCGCAATTGAAGTATGTCCTACAAATATTTCTGCAAAACCGCTTCTGATATAAAGTGAGCCGAAAGATCCTCACCTGATTACGAAATAAAAACAAATTAAAACTATCTGTATGTATCCAAAAACAGTAACATTAGATAAATAAAATGTTTTTTAACAAGATAACACTCATATTTCATTTTTATCTTGATTAATACATTTAATACGATCTAAATCAAAAGAAAGGTAGAGGAAATGAAATGATTGCCATGGCAACACAGGAAACGTCCTGGGCTGCCTCCGTGATTAGCGGCCGCCGTGACGAGGGGGGCGGAAAATGCATTAAGGTTTCCATGATTGTGGCACACTGAGAACAGGTAGAATAAATAAAAATTAATCCTTTTTTTAATAAGATTTATGCAAGTACTTTTCTCGCTGTGTAAACGCGTCTGTAACGTGTCCACGAAGTGGGAATAGTATCGTGTGATAGAATGAAAACAAAATTTAGAAAACTAGCTTAACATACCCATAACAGTCCCATATCGGACTGCAGCGGAATTTTCAACTGGTGCTGACGAAGAAAACCATGTCCCTTTCGCTGGTGCGGACCGATTATTTCAGGTGTTTGTCAGATTTCAACACAGACAATTAATTATATACTATAAATCGTATGTATACAATATGTTTAGGCAAACCTAGAGCTTTTTTTATTCCTACCTATTAGCCTTGAGAGGCTAATTCAGCTTTACCCTAGCGTATAGGTGAGCTCTCGGGGCTCAAACCGGAGGTGTTGCCAACACTAGTCCTTGCAAGAGCAGTGCTTTGCAGAATCTACCGCCGGATAGAAAACGCGACCCAAGAAAGAAAGAACAAGAAACGCGAAACAAGAAACCCGGCGGGAAACTCAGTGGGCTGTGTCTATGGGTTAATGTACTCGCCGAGCGCTTCATGGCCAGCGACGAGTTCGGCGAGGACGGTGACCGGTGCTTGAGGTACCCAAAAGCACCGTTTTTATAGCATCTCAATCTACCCTAGTACTGGATGGTCGAGAAAGACCTGTCACGCCCTGATGGAAATATCGTTCGTGGCGCATTTCGCCCGCCGCAGCACCAGGTGAAGCTTTATGATTTTACTTTCTGCAGCCAAGATTTCAAACTAAATCTGTATCTGTAGATACCATCATCCCACATATCGCTGCCACGAAGCCATTCCCAATTTGGAAATTTCGAATGAAAAGCTAAAATCAGGAGTTAATATAGCACCAATAAGTTCGTCTACTTATCGTACTTGTACATAACCAGCGTCATCTAGGCGGGCTTTGGATATCCTGCCGACCGAGGGGGCTGGTGGTCGTGGCACCGACGACCGCCGGTCCGGCGTCCCAAGGGGGAGGGTGATGGGAGAGATGTGCTCTGCACTAAACGCTTCATTTCCCCCCTTTGCCTTTTCATGAGTTCTGTCTCATGCGAGGTTCGGACGTGGGTTGTTGAGCGACTGAAGGCTTTTAGTCGGTTCGAATCCGATATGCCCCGCCCGCCAACCCCAGTGAAGGGCGGAAGTCCGGCATTTCATCCTGAAAAAAAAATCATGCTTGTACAAAATCATGTTTTTGGATTTTACTGCGCATGCACAGTGTACGGAGATTGAGAGTGATCAAATTGAAAGTATTAAGAAATTAGTCTGGACTCTGAAATCGCTGGTACAATATTATAATAAAAATATTAATAATACTAATATTATCTGAGACCAATGTGACCGAAACCTATTATCACAAGCGAAGATTCATTTAACTAGAATTGATGGTACTTATCATCGCTGAGGAATACTATTTTATATTCACCTGATTGTAAATAATTTGAAAAAGCAGGTTTGTTTATTAATTCTATCTTTAATTTTACGGACTCTGTAGAGCATTAGTCAGTGCCCCTGATGTTCTGGCAAGGGTCGTGGGTTCGATTCCCACGTCGGGCAAACATTGCTCTTTGTCTGAGATTACTATTATCAAATATATCACGGCAGAAGTAGGCGGGGTGGTGGTACCTACCCGTGCGGACTCACAAGAGGTCCTACCACTAGTAATTACGCAAATTATAATTTTGCGGGTTTGATTTTTATTACACGATGTTATTCCTTCACCGTGCAAGTCAATCGTGAACATTCGTTAAGTACGTATTTCATTAGAAAAATTGGTACCCTATTTCTGCCGTCAAGCAGTAATGCGTTTCGGTTTGAAGGGTTGGGCAGCCGTTGTAACTATATTGATACCTTAGAACTCATATGTCAAGGTGAGTGGCGGCATTTAGGTTGTAGATGTCTATGGATTCCAGTAACCACTTAACACCAGGTGGGCTGTGAGCTCGTCCACACATTTAAGCAATAAAAACTGCGGGATTCGAACACCGTTGCATCGTTAAATACGAATGCACCGGACGTCTTATCTTTTAGACTACGACAACTCCTATCTAGTACAAAATTGAATATGTATAACAGCTCCATAATTCGAATTATGGTTGTGAAGATTTTCGAACAACTGCTGCCTTCCAGTGGACGTCATTGGATTCCACAAAGCAGTACACGAGCAGTGAATTGAGGAAAAGAAGACGTTCATCAACTCATTAATAGATGTCGCTAGCGTCTCACATCAGAATTAGTTACAAATTTTAAACACAGATGTCACTACTGTCCTAAATTATCTTTCGTTTTCCTTGGCCAATTTTGTAAAATGCTAACTTCACATTCGAACAAAACTTTATAAGTAATTTAACAGTTATAGTCATACGTAGGAGTGTATCATAAGCACAGAGAACAATTATTGGACAATACACAGCTAAACATACTTAATATTTGAAGGCTTCGACCACATAAATAGTACACTGGTATTTCTACTTATCATTTATAAAGGCAACGACGTAACATCTTATACGTCAACATATTGACACAGAGTTTATAAATAAGTAAAAAATAAGTTCAATGAAACTTAATATTTCCATTCCCATTCCAAGTAATGAGATATTACCATCAATGGAGATAGTGAAGACTTTTGGAGCTTGCTGTTGAGCTTATTATAAAATAACTGTAAGTAATTAAATAACTAAAGTAAATACATAAACTTGTTATTCGCAACGGCTACAATAAAATAATGTAAATCGGATGTAGACTCCATAACTTCGGATCGTCACCAACCTGTTCTCTCGTCAACCCTCACTTAAAAGACAAATAAACAAACATACACACATCTTTGTCGCTCTGTAAGGTTTTTATTTGCTGTCCCTCTCGGCTGGCTATCGTAAACTTGACCTTAAGATAATTAATAACATTAATCTTTTGTCATTCTTGAAGAGGCGAGCGCAAAAGACGCGCGTCCGCGGAATAAATCGCGTCGGAAAACAATTTTTTTATAAGTATACTAGTTGTTTACGAATGGTGCAAATTAAAATGGTAAGATTTCCGTGTGTCTTAATTGAGTGTTCGTCTTCATTATATATTTTGTGTATCGAATTGTTTTAATTAACACGAGGAAGTCTGGTATTTTGTGTGTGTTGTATCAATATGAAATTGTGAAAAAACCGGTTAAACAGCTTGAAGGTAATTTTGTATTTCGATGCCATTCCACATCCGCAAGAAACGACGTATGTATGTATAGTATTTTTTTTAATATTTTTAATCTTTACAAGAAATATAAAGGTTAAGTATATTAGGTTATACTTGAGACCTTAGAACTTATATCTCGAGGTGGGAGGCGCATTTACGTTGTAGATGTCTATGGGCTCTAGTAACCACTTAACACCAGGTGGGCTGTGAGCTCGTCCACACATCTAAGCAATAAAAAAAAAAACTTAATTCTTGGACTCTTCTTTCATGGCGGCGCACCAGATGATACTCTTGCTACATATGGCGGTCTGCGAATTTACATATATCACAGAAATTTGCAGCCGAGCAATTTAAGGCACGTTTGAGTTGTAAATGTCATCTGTGGGTGTCAATTGCTGATGAACTTTTACTGATGTTTCGATAATTGTATCGGACATCTGAGAGGAATTTTCATTCTAAGCAGCGAACCAAACTGCCGGTTTTCTTGCTAGTTACAGGACTAGACTAGAGAATCATTGAGACAGACCTTTAGACCAATAGCAGACTCAATACCGAACGTATTTTGGCCAAAAAGTACGCGATATAACACAAGTCGTATGCCCATCCGGAATGCCTTTTTGATATAACGATCGTAAATGTCATTAGCAAACGGTGTCAATTAAGAAAAACCGGTCTAACCAGTTGCAGACGACTTGTATGTCCCGAGTTTACAGGGTCCTAGTTCCAGAATACTCCGCTGTAGGGCCTATATCATAATTTGAACTCTATAAACATAACTATAGGTAGCTGTAAGCTGTATTGTTACGACCAAAGGCAAAAGAAAGCGCCCATAAATCTAATCGGGCGCTGGGTTCTGGTCTACAGTGACTCTTGAGTAGGGAATATCAATATGTAAGACGTGTGACTCTAAGAAGTAAATATCGATATTAAGGACCAAAATCCAACATAAAAATTATACTAATTTGATGGGAATCGTTCTTGACGTTGGGTAGAGAATGTGATCTTCGAGAATTGAGTATAATTTTCGCTTTAGAAGGACTAGCGCAGTACGTAGAAGGTTTTTAATACATAATAGATCAGTAGCGTGACTCTATTTATGCAATAAAACACCAGATGCACTTGAGTCTAATTATTTATTGGACTTGCATTCTTTGACAAATAACAATTTCAACTTCACGTCTCAAGGTTGATAATAAGGCTTCACTTAGTACCAGGCGGGTCGGGAGCTGGTCTGCGATCCAAACAAGGAGAAAAGTTCTCGTCCGTACTTAATGACGCCATGTAATTGAGTTCTTTTAGTTTTTTTGTTTGATAAACACAACAAGAAGTATGCAAACTTAATTAAAGATTACATTTCTTTCCATTTGGTTCAATGACCCTAAGTACACTTTGTACATTGGTAATTATTTTTAAGCAAACATAAAAAAAAAAACATTAAAGGTTTTAATATGTTACAAAAATCAGATAGTCAGTAATCTCGTGCGGACTCACAAATCGTCTTACCACTAGTAAAAAGATATCTCTTTCTCTGATTCATCCTCAAGTTTACTTAATATTACATTAAATAAATCACGAATATTACGTATTAATGAGCCAAAGTCAGGAAAAGGTCTGGACGTTTGGTGGGTTTGGTGGACGCAGGTGGACCGTAGGGAAGGAATTTTTATTGTTATGTTGCAATCAATAACAGGTACGGACAAATCCTTGACTTGTTTTTATGTTTTATCTAAACATTAACATTTGAACCACAACTTTGTGTTTTAATCTAATTCATAGAGAATTTCAGATAGAATCGTCTTGTATTAACGATAAACAAAATGTGACGTAAAATGACAATTATCTCTGAATATATAACNGAGAATTTCAGATAGAATCGTCTTGTATTAACGATAAACAAAATGTGACGTAAAATGACAATTATCTCTGAATATATAACAAACAACGTCGCTGCTAACACGTAATAAGTGTTTCTAAGTTTACTTCTATTAGACTACGCAATTGAGACAGTTTTCACTAATAAAAACATTGATAAACGAGGAAGATTTTAGTATATAATTTCTAAAAAAATTCCGAAACAATGATGGATCCATGATTGTGATTCGTCAAAAAATAAAAAGCATTTTTTGCTTATTTGTGCATTACATTTCGTGGGCTATAGCTCGATAAGATTCTATGGCCAAAAAACCCATAGACAAAAAGGATTGGATGTCAGAAGAGGTTTGGTCTAATATAACTTTACGTAAAGAACTTCAATGTGGCGTAAGATCTGAAAAAAATCGTGGGAGAGTACTCACAACTCACGAGTACAATTCAAAGATAATGTAGAAGAGACAAAAACAAATTTCTAGAAGACATCTGTACTGAAATTGAACGTCATGCAGACAAATATCAAACTGCTGATCTCTTCCGTAAGGTCAGGCAAATAACGCGGAAGTTCAAACCATCTTCGTGGGTGATAGAGGACAAAAATGGGAACCCTAAAGTTGGGAAGTTGCCAAAATAGCTGAGAGATGGAGGGAATATTGTGAGGAACTATATAAGGACCAAATGCCCCAACACCAATCTACTCCATCTCTCGAAGTCACGGTAGAAGAGGAACCCTACATACTCCGTTCAGAAATTGAAGCCGCAATCCGGAAGCTAAAAAACAATAAAGCACTAGGACCTGATAGAATAACAGCGGAAGTGTTGAAAGGATTGGGCCCAAATGGCATAATGTGCTTGCATAATTTATGTAGTAAGATATGGAGATTGGCCATCTGATTGGGTACACTCCTCTATTCTTCCTCTTCACAAAAAAGGTTCGGTACGGAACTGTAATAACTACAGAACCATTGCACTGATATCCCATGCCAGTAAAATTCTGCTTTACATCATCAACGCGAGACTAAGATCTTACCTGGACTGGCAAATACCCCAGGAACAAGCCGGTTTTGTGAAGGGGAGGGGCACCAGAGAGCAAATCCTAAACCTTCGGCTTATAATAGAAAAGTGCTATGAATATAACACTCCTACTTTCATGTGTTTTGTGGATTACCAAAAGGCCTTCGACTGCGTTAAGTGGGAGAGACTGTGGAAAGTTCTTTCCGAGACAGGTGTACCGGACCACCTCGTAATGCTGGTTCGCAAGCTGTATGAGTCAGGATATGGCACTGTGACTGTAGGAGATTTAACATCAGGCCGTTTCAAATTCCATAAGGGTGTTCGCCAAGGATGCGTGATATCTCCCATCCTTTTTAATATCTATGGAGAACACATAATGCGACAAACTTTAGATGGTTGGGAAGGTGGCATAAAGATAGGCGGAGTAAAGATATCGAATCTCAGGTACGCGGACGATACCACCCTCTTCGCTTCATCGGAAAATGAAATGGCGGAGCTACTTCACAAACTGGAAACCGTCAGTATGGAAATGGGGCTTGCTATTAATAAATCCAAGACCAAGCTAATGATTATTGACCGTTTCAAAGCTATCCAACGCAACAATCTCCTACATGACTACGAAACCGTAACCCAGTTCCCATACCTTGGCTCACTGATTACCAACAAAGGAAGTAGCGAACCGGAAATACGGAGACGGACTGGCATGGCAAAATCTGCAATGACCCAACTGAGCAAAATCTGGAGAGACCGTAATATTACCCACCGAACTAAAATACATCTGGTCCGCACCCTTGTCTTCTCCATTGCTCTATATAGTGCAGAGACGTGGACACTCAAAGCCGCAGATAGGCAGAGAATCGACGCTTTTGAGATGTGGTGCTGGCGACGTATGCTACGAATACCATGAACGGCCCGCCGCACCAACATATCTATTCTCAGGCAGTTAAAAATATAAAAGATTCAACGTCTATCCACAATCTGCCTACAAAGAATATTGCGGTATTTTGGTCATGTTGCATGTAGGGATACCAGCAATTTGGAACGCCTTGTGGTGACCGGTAAAATAGAGGGAAAAAGGCCTAGGGCTAGAGGTCCCAAACGATGGTCGGACCAAATAGCGGAGGAACTGGGGATACCTATCAGCGACGCACTCCACCGGGCTGCAGGGCGGGATCGATGGAGACAGTTGGTTGACGAAATCGGACGGAGTCACGATCCTCAGCAGTGAGGAACCGATCGAAGAGAGAGAGAGAGAGAGAGAGCTCGATAAGTCGCGAAATTGCAAATGACGGACGCTGCTTTCTGAAAGTTGGTCACATAAAAGAAAAAATATGTATTCCAATGGAATTCGTCTCGCATATATTTCCCGTAATACAATGACGTAATTTAGCGGAAATACCTCAATCCACAGTAACAAGAAAAGCGTTTCTTTTTACTAAATCGTTTTGGCGAAAAGATAATTTAATTAAACCAATTTTTTTACTGTACAACGAACGATATTATTATCGAAAGCCTTGAGCACAAAATCTCGATATTAATATATTACATGTGCGATACCCGCCATGTAGACCAGTCCATTCTGAGCCCTAACGCGCCAAATGTTTTGGAATTGATACTTTAACGTCAGGTCCCAAAGGTGCAATTTTTATATAGCTGGATGAGTTTACCTGGTGTTCAATGACTTCTGAGCCCATTGATTTTAGGGGTAGGTGGGCTCACGGGCTCAACCTGAAAGAATTTACTAACACTAGCATTGAGAAGATTCGGCGGGAAATTCAATGGACGCCCAAATTTGTATGGAGTTGTATGGAGTTTGTATGAACAGATTTCCTTCCTTTGCCGCTTTATCACACTGACTGCGGGTTTTGAACGCATCGCTCGATACGACTACACCGGACCTTCTTATCTTGTATTATAAAGGGAATCCCAATTGGGTTTTTGTCTTCTACTAACTACGCCTTTTA